TTGCATTGAATCCAAACTCGAATATGTAGATCTTGCCAGATGAGGTAAATGAGCATAATTGCTTGAGTACTCTCTCTAAGATTTTCAATCTATCCTTACAGATCCTCTAGTATTTCAATTTTTACTTATACTCATGCATCACTCATTTCATCAATACCCATTGTGTTGAGACAAGGTGTAGCAACTCAAAAGGTCTAAGTATATTGAGATATATTAGCCCGTTTTAATTTTTCCAATTTCTAATTTTTGTTGTTATTTTCAATTTATGTTGTCGGTTGGGATATTTTGGATGCTATAAATTCTATTGTAACTAAACCTTGGCTATATGTCCCCATAGTGGAAATGAATGGATATGTTCAAGAAAAAATGTAAATTAGATCTAACACTCATGATGCCTTTCTTCACCCATTATTTCTCCAATCGGAGCTCAGGATCTTTACCCTAATGTCCTTCTCTCTTTATCAAGTAGCTTTACTAGGAGAACTTGTTTCCACGGTTTAAAGCAAGTATCAAACACCGGCTTTTTTTACCCTTATAACCTTTAATTAATAATTAAGTACCAATTTGACCTTCATTTGAAACTAATTCAAAAATTTAACCCCTTCAGAAAACATAACACCAATCTGCCCCTGTTTGACCGTTGACCATCAAGCCTACCCGGGTACACCCCTCCCTACCCTGGTAAATTTTGAAATTTTTTACCTACCCGGGTAGGAAGGTGTGTACTCGGGTAGAGTTCTTGAATCTGGAAAAATGGTTGAATTAGTTACCCGGGTAGGAAGGGCTGTACCCGGGTAAACAATAGACTTGTACGATTTTGCCATTGTGCTTTTGCCATCTACTGTTATGAACCAAAAGTAATACCTTGAGTGCTGCTTGCATGATTTTCTTATCAAAGCCTTTGACCAGTTCATTGATCCTTGAGTAAGCACCGATCAATGGATCCTGCATTTGCGGTCAACAATTAACAACAGCAAACGAGTCTTAAAAAACTTCCAATTCATTCTTGTTGTATAAGTTCAGTGAAAAAATACATGGGCAACTCTTACGTAAGTGTTATCGTCTGCCTTGGCAAACATTGCATAAATCCTAAGTTTCTTTCTCTCTGCCTCCAAGTGGAATGTGTTGAAGCTAATTTGTTTATAACATAACATTATACCACTAGTATCTAATAGAAATATCTCAGTTATTATGGTTATAAGGAAAATAATAATTGCTTTAAGTCGATAATTAGAGGAACATTGTAACTAAAAAGTGAATTATCTTCTAATTAGAATTCAGAAAAATAAAGGGTACTTGTATGAACATAAAAGACCATATCTGCATGGAGAAGCACGGGAAGAAACAGAGAGTTTGGTTCCAATGTGAAGAACTGAAGATGGTAGGGTGGTGCTCCTTGTTTTTCCTTGACATCAATGGCAAAGATCTGTCCGTATTCAGTGACAGTTAATGTCCTCCTCTGATCCTTCTCCACCACAGGTCCCTCGTGAGCCTTGACATGATCATGCTCCTCATCACTTGATGCCTTTCCCCCATACAAAGAAAAGGTAAGGAAGAAGATCAAGACCCACGAAAATGTCGAAGCTATGAAAGCTTTGCGAGGCTTCATTTTCACCAGAATGACAGGAGCAGAAGAACTTGAATGAAAGTGATTTTGCCTGTCACAGTTTTTTTCATTTATATAAAAACTCTACGAGTCGATGTTTACCCAGGTACAGACCTTCCTACCCGGGTAACTAATTCAACCATTTTTTCAGATTTAAGAACTCTACCCGGGTACACCCCTCTTTACCCGGGTAGGCAAAAAATTTCAAAAATACCAGGGTAGGGAGGGGTGTACCCGGGTAGGCTTGGTGGTCAACGGTCAAATAGGGGCAGATTGGTGTTATGTTTTTTGAAGGGATTAAATTTTCGAATTAGTTTCAAATGAAGGTCAAATTGATAATTAATTATTAATTAAGGGTTATAAGGGTAAAAAAGCCATCAAACACCTACTAATTAGTAGCGTTAAAAAGTGGACATGAATCAAAATTCTCTCTTTCATGTCCTTCCTCCTTCACAATACAATTCACCTTCAGTATGACTTCTATAACTGCATCCAAAAGTATGGAGTCTTGGTTGTCATTAATCTCCTTATTTAGAAAGTCATTGAATAATATGGTTTGATATCCCCTGGGGATTGAATACCTTAAAGCTTCTCTATAGAACATCCTCATTCTCGAATGGTGTTTATATAGTGAGAGATATAAAACCAATATGAATCATTATCTAAGAGTTCAAAGCTTTTAGAAGAGTTTATCATTGACATGAATGATATTAAAAATTGTTTTAAATTATTAGGTGAAGGTAAATGACTAATTTTAGTCCAAAAGAAAAATATTACCCTTAATATATTAGTCCAAAAGAAAAATATTACCCTTAATATATTAGTCCAAAAGAAAAAGTGATACTTTGTCCTTTGTGGGTTTCCTTTTTTTTCTTTTTTGGTAATCTTTTGTGGGTTTCCTTAATTTACACATAACCAACCAATAATTTTTTTCATAACCATTTTTTATTGGGTACATTTTCATCGAAGTTTTAAATGAAGACACCTAAAAATTTGTTGTCCGTCAAATCTCAATTATGGTTGTCCATGTTTTATAACAAAACCAAAGCATTGTTGTTTTATAGCGAGGAAATTATTGATGTTTGATAATTTGTTGTCCGTCAAATCTCAAATCTCAATTTTTAGGCTATTGAAAATTGATTAAGTTTCATAAATCTCTCGTACTTACCAAAATTTAAAAAATAAAAGTAGACTTGGAATCGTTTCAATCGAACGAGCAAATTAGTAATTTCGCAAAGGAAATAAAAGTTCTTATATCTCATTCAAATATAATCAAAGAAATCTTCGTTAATCATTAATAGAATAACACTGACAATTTTAATGACAAACTTTTTAAAGAAAAAAAGTAATTACTTTAATTATTGACCATATATTTATCAATAAGTGATTGAGATTTTTATAATAACAAAAAATATTTATCATTTTTAGTAACACAACTTTTTATCATTTTAAGCGAAACTATTCTTGTTTTTACCTTTTCTCTCATCTATTAAATCAAGAGGAGAGAGAAAATGAAAGTAATGTGGAGGAGCGAGAAGGTAAAAACACATCGAAATACAAAATATAATAATTTCACTTAAAATAATATAAAATTATATCCTTTAAAATAATAAATATTTTTCTATTATAATAATGTAGTAGTAGTATTATTAGTAGGGGGAAATATTTGTTATTTTAAAGGGCATAATTTTATGTCATTCTATTTAAACAACCTTGTTTTGATGCATATTTGTTGGTTTTTTATATTATCATTCACAAAATTATGAGAAGAGAGAAAGAGAAAGTATTATGGATGAGAGAAAATGTAAAAAAGCAATAAATTTGCACTAAAAAATGGTTGTTTCATGACACAAAGTTGTATCCTTTAAAATGATAGTAATTATTATTGTTATGAAGATGAGATAAGTGCCCTTTTTTTATGCCTAGTATAGCCTCTCCTTTCCAATACTATTAGGGCATGTTTGGTGTATAGTATAGGATAAGTCCTGATAGTATAAGACCTGATAGTATAAGGCCTGATTGTATAAGACCTGACTGAATTTTAATATTATCCAGCGTTTGGCACGGTATTGTATAAGATAATATCATCTAGTATTTGGTAATGCACTGTATAATACTATATATGATAAAAATAAATATTTTTAATAAAAATATCCTTTAATAAAGAATTTATATAATTCTTCAAAAAATGTCATACGATATTATTTTATAAAAATTTATTGATCAGTGTGTCCAAAATATAAATTTTTTTTATAAAAATAAAAATATCAATATTTTAAAAATTAATATATTGAAAAATTAATTTTTATTTTAATAGATTAATATTAAAATAATATATTAATTTTTGAGAATTATATTGGTCAACGATGTTAATACATCAATCTCTTATCAGACCTTATCCCTCACCCTTAGGCCGGATTAAGTTATACATCGTTTTGATGTATTAAGGGATTATGTTGTATAAGCTTATACTATACGATGGTCGCACCAAACAATTGAAAATGTCATAACGTATAGTATAAGCTTATACTATCATGCCTTATACGTCACACCAAACAGGCTCTTATCACAATGTTAAGAGAAGAGAGAAATTGGCAAAGTTAGTTGAGATTGCCATTTAATGATGTTGAAAATGAGTAAATAGAGTAGATATATAAAAAATAGTCGCAATATTCTATCTCTATTATTATTATTATTGTGGGATAAGTGCCTATTCTTTTCATGCTTACTCTAAAATCATTTTCAATACCATTATCGAAATATGAGAGAGAAATTATGAAAGTTAGTTGAGATTACGATATAATAGTGGTGAAAATAAATATGTAGAATAGATATAAAAAAATTTATTATTTATTATTATTATTATTATTTTTATTATATAGATTAATTTTCTCATTTTACATAATTTTTTTTTTCTTCTTACACACAATAAATGAGCGGAGTTCATAAAAAGAGTGATAATGTAAAAAAAATAAAGGTGGACCCACTTATTAATTGTGTGTATATATATGAAGAATTTTTTTTCTTTATTTCCCTATTATTATTGGTTCAAATTATACCGTCATATTAGAAAGACACAGGAGGATGCATCCTTTGCAAAGCCTTCACCCTCCCAGGCTCCCACCACCGATTGAGTTTTGCCTTAACTTTCTTTATACTGAAAGCAAAGATTTTACTTCAGATTAAAAAAAAAAAAAAATTGGATGTAAAGCACAAAATAAATATTAATAATATTAGTTATATGCAAAATAAATAAATAAATTAATATTAAAAGATTGGTTAAATTGACAATTTTTTTTCCTTACAAAATTATAAATTATATGAATATTCAGACAATACATCCTGCCCTAATATTAATCAGCGGACAATAATAACACGGTTGGTTTTGGTGTGAGACTTAGACATCCAACCAATTCCTCAAAACGCCTAACGTTTAACATTCCCATCAAACAAAACCAAGGTTCAGATCCGACGCACACAGATCAGATCTCTCTTCTTCTTTTTCTCTCGATCAGCACCAGGTTAGTTCCATGCTTCATCAAAATTATATTTTAACGTTCAAATTTCATTGTGGGTATGAACAAATGCTTTCTGTTTCATCTTAAAGATTGCATTTTTATTGAGCTTCTTCATTCATAGCAAGTATGAGCTAATTTTAGTTCAAATGGGTCTTTATGTCTTTCATTTTTTATCAAAATGATGATCTTTTTATTCAGCTTCACGTCTAGCCAGTTTGAGCTGATTTTAGTTCAAATGGGTAATTGTATACGTTCATTTATGTTCAAAATGGGGATCTGAATGACTGTACAAAACAACTCAGAACTTATGTTTACATTTTTAAAAAAAAAATTCTAAAGCATTATGGCACTTTTGGGTCTTAAGCTTGACATTAGGTGTTCGTTTTTTTTTATTCAATTTCAAATCAATCTAAATTTTGAAGTATTACTATATCTCCCCTATGAAATTTGTAATATGTGTTCATTTGAATATAATTTGGGTAGATATAGCCATCTCCTATTAAAATTTGGACTTGTATTTGTACAGGTAAAGTTGGAGTTTCAAGTGTAATCTAAGTTTAGCTATAGAATAGCTATCCAAGAGCTCTGGAGAAGTTGCTTCATTTGGATTGAAATATATCTTGGTATCTTCTTAGGGCTTGAAGAGAATCTATATTTAGTTACTGTCTATTGGTTGATACCAACATGATTTGACAAGTTTGATTATGAAGGCAGGTCCTGTGCCTGAACAGTAGTTAATGCCCTAGCTGTGTTATGCACCCCAAGTGAACTTATGTTGTTGGATTTGGGGACAAGTGATGATATTAAACTGCAGCTGGCTGGACAGATTTGTCTTGGAGTACAAACATGTATACAACTCGATATACAGTAGGAGATGGTAGTGAGTGAATTGGATTTTGAGGGTGTTGACTTAACAGGGATCCATGATGATGACAGTGAAAGCCTAGGCTCTGGCATTCGTAGAGAACCTTCCTTTTCGCGTTGGTGTGATGATGATGGAAGGGTTCATTTGGATCAGCAATTAGGTAATGGAGATGTCAGCGTAGAAGAAGACTCTGATTTTGAGTTACCTTTTCCTCAAAAGAATGAGTTACAAAGCAGACCTTTAGATAGAGAGACATTCTTTCACCAAAATTTTCAGCACAGTATGCAAATGAATGGTACTGCTACTATGGATGATGATTCTATTTATCGGAGAGGTCATGGATCCGAGAAGTACGTGGCTTTTGACATTGAAAACAGTTCTGAAAGGGGAACAGTTGGTGTTGACTCCTACGTTTCTGTCGCTGGCGATGGATCATTGGGAAAAAGCTCCCACAATCCCATTTCTGTAGCAAATATCTTGAAGACGTTGTTTTTCATTCTTGTGTGGTACACTTTCAGTCTATTTTTGACCTTGTAAGTTCCTTTTTAACACTGTTGGTAATTGCTAGCATATATGCCCTGTTTAGTGCTATTTGTGATGCAAATCCTCTTTCCTTCATCTCTTATTTTAAACTATTTTGAACAGGTATAATAAAAGTCTTTTAGGAGATCATATGGGAAAGTTTCCAGCTCCTTTTTTAATGAATACTATCCACTTTTCAATGCAAGCTGTTTTATCAAAATTTATCACCTGGTTTTGGTCACATAGATTTGAGACTAATGTTGTCATGTCTTGGAGGGATTACTTTTTGAGAGGTAATTTTCAATTCCCCTACCTCATTCTTTCTATTCTTACTCTGCCCACTATATTATGCTGATTAGGTATGCAATGCTATAACTTCTTAATACATTTTGACTAATAATTTTTGTTATTGACTGTTATTCATGCAGAATGTTCTACGTCAGTTATATTTAGAGTGCTTTTGATTTAAAATAATTTGTGATTCTTTGTGGTGATAGCTCTTCTGAACTAGGATTTATTTATTTCTTTAGTTTTTATAATCGTTTTTTAACTCATATAACAAGATTCTAGCAGTACTGTGGTCCAAAACATGGAACCTTTTTGTGGCTTCAAATAGAGACTGAGATCATCAAGGGTCTGTTTGATTGTGTTCTGGTTTTTTTGTTCTTAAAATTGTTTTGTAGGCTAGTTATGGAAACAAGTGTTTTCTGTATTTTTTTTGTTTTGAAAGTTAAATGTCAAAACATAAAACAAAAACAACTCAGATATGTTCTCTAAATTTGTTTCTAAAAACAAAGAAACAATTATAATTTTTAAAACTTTTTTTACAAATCAGGCTTTATCAAACAAGTTTTTTATTTTTTGTTCTGAAAACCAAAAAGCTATTTTTAGAAATAGTATTCAAACAGGGCCTAAGTTTCTTCTGTAACAATGTTCAAGTTTTTCTTTCTTCCCTTTTTTTTGTTTGTCTAGTTTCTTTTGGTTTTAGGGAGTAGGGAAGTCCTATTGGAACTAAGTGGGAATGGGAAATATGGATGTGGGCAATTGAATCCCCACCATATAACCTCAGCTCCCTTGTAAAGATCAGGGGAAATACTAGTTGAGCTGCTTTTCACCATTGGAAAATGTCCAATTTTAGTCTGTGATTATGTACTACTAAGTTCTATCCCTTCTAACCATGTCATTTTTTTTTAACAAATGATGATTTTCTTGGGAAGGAAAGAAGTTATAAACTATCCAAGTCATTCTCTCCCTACTTCCAGAAAGTTTCCAGACATTCTGAACCATTGTGTTTCAATCATCGCATTGTTGCTGTTGATATTGCCAAGTACCTTTTGCAATAATCTTATATCTACCACAACCTGTATACAAACAAATTTCCTAAAACTAGTGCATCAATACCAGAAAAAGTACGAATGATGTTGCTCATTCTATGGGATGGGGGATTCCCATGTTTGTCAGGAAAATGAAAGTGCAGAACAGGGATTCCTATTCGTGCCTCATTCCTTAGAACCATAAATGGATAATAAAATCCATTCCTCCTTAGTGAGGTGGGATTTGCAATTCCATGCCCCATGGAATGATATTTGATTTTTCTGTTCCTAACATATCTTCATTAATTTTACAAAAATGATAATAATTACCCATTATATTTAACCCACTTAAATCCATGAGAAATATAGGTTGCAATCACTAAAATATTTAAAGAAGAGGTGATATGATTAAAATTTTAGTGTCTGTATTGTACCTATACTTCAAATGACAATTTACACACTTCTAATGTTTTTCTCACAACTAAAAAATATTTTCTCAGCCTCTTTTCGAATATGCGAAGGTGAAACTGCGTACAAGAGTTGCTCTAACTCCACCCTCGCTAGTCAGATTTAATGCGGTGTGGTTTTTTTTTTTTTTAAATAATTTTTTTTTCTCTTTTTCAGTGACAATATTGTTGTTAACTTGTTATCAAGTTAATAAAAAAATGTTAAATAAACTTGAAAATTAATCTAAAATATACATTCATATTACATATATAAGATATATAGGGAAAAACTGAAATATTTTTATTTTCTTACACATATAAGATCAACTTTGATTTCCTGCCACGTCAATTCCATGTACCAAACAAATTGGAAATTGGCGATGTTCATTTCATTCCATTCGAACTCACTCCATTCCATCTCTATGCCATTTTCATTTCGTGGAACCACCATTTTGTGTGCCAAATGTGCGAGCATTTAGCCAAATACAAGGGTAGTTGTTAAGGAATACTAAGTGGTAGGCCACTCATTCATCTAACTTCTAAGAGTCAATAACAATGGCAATCCATTCTGGCTGTAGGATTTTCACTTTCTAATTTATACCACAAAATACAATGTAATTAATATCCTTAAAAGAAAATTTTGCCCCCACTTTTGATCTATTAAAAGATGTTTTTACTTTCTTGGAACTCCTGCCAGACTTCTGTTTTTCCATATGGATGCTCATCTATGTTCAATTTTTTAATAATTAATCATGAGTCATTTTCCGAATTCAGTATACTTTTTCATTAAAATGCACAAATTTGCAAGTCATATGAAATGATCTAACAATACCTAGGATGATTTAACATGCCATTTTTTCTGTTATTTTTGCTTCTTTCCTCTTTTGCTGATCTTCTACCCTGAAGCACAATTCTTTGCAAATTTCTCACAACTTATTACATTAACTTTTATATCAACTAATGCCACAGATGGACTTTGCCTTTCACAGTTGTACCGACTTCTCTTGGAACAGCAATGGATGTTAACTTGAGCAATGCATCTCTAGTTTTCATCTCTGTCACATTTGCAACAATGGTTTGTGACATTTCTTTTCTTTTCATGTAAAATGATAGAAATGTTAATTTAAATCTATTTTCTTTTGTTATATTACATCGGAATCAGATTCTACATCCACCCTAGTGCCTCTGCATATTTACCTTTCCTTTTCTCTTGCAGTGTAAATCTGCTGCTCCGATTTTTCTCCTTCTGTTTGCATTTGCTTTCAGGTGAGTTTCATGTCATTTTGTCTTTGTGATCACTCTGATTACGTGATTTTTTTAGATAAATGTTAAACATTCTAAAATTTGTTGGGAGTATTACATTAAGGAAAACAAATTTTGTATTATGAAGTCTTGCATAACTCAGAAGACATTTGGTAAGTGTAATCATTATGTACACCAATAGTTATCTATTCTGTAAACTGGTAAAATTCTTCTAGAATTGGAGCTTTTAAGACAAATTGTTCCTGAGAGCCAGAATTGTTGGAACTGTCCTTAAGCTTTTAGAAATCGCACCCTCCTCCTCCTCATGCTGGTTTTGTTAAAATTGCTAGAGTTCTCAATTATGTACTAAATTTTATACATTGTTTAGTTTTTGTGGCCATTAAGAATTCAATATTTACAATATACAGGAGTGACAAAATAATTGTGGTGTCACAAACGGTTGATAAAATGTTTGGAATGTACGGTAATTTCTCCTGAATTAAATAGTAGCTCTCATAAATTACACCCACTGACAATTGTTGTATACGATAGTGGTCTCACAGCCCAATCCATTCTACTGAAAAATCCACAACAATGCAATGCTTTCTGCCAATGTCATTGCACTGATCTTTTTTTTCATTTTTAATAGAAAAACACAATTTAATAGGGATAAATAGGGAAAGTACAACTAGGGGGAGGATAAGATATCCTTCAAAGATGAGCCATGAAAATTTTAACATGCATCAGGCCTGCCCAGTCTCTTTTTGTATCAGAAATGGCAACCTATGAAGCACCGACACATCAAAAATCCTGACGTGTGGTGTCTGACACTCACCGACACTCCGACACTTCCCGACACTCCGACACTTCCCGACACTCCAATACTCGTTGCAAAAACTCAAAATAGGTTCAAAGGTTACGTTGCGTTTCATTTTGAGTTCCAACTATTAGATTCGTTAGATTACGATTACGATTTTATTAAGTTTAATATAAACATTTGGGATATCTTATTTTTCTTTGCAAAATTGATGGGTATTATAAGTTTAGCTTTATTTTTTTGTTAAATTATTGAATACTAAATATAATATACACTACATAAATTAAAAATATTATATAATATTAAAACGTGTCCTAATGTGTCTGAAATTTTACACCTTTTAGAATTAACGTATTGGAGTGTCGTGTCGTGTCATATCCCGTGTCCCGTATCGGTGTCGGTGCAACATAGATGGCAACTCCCTTGAGACAACCATGAGTAAGTAGTACACCAAAGAGAAGCCATAATAAAGAGACATTCTTAAAGAAGCAGGCATTATACTTTAACCAAATGCACAAAAAACATGCAGAAACTTCAGGTTGCACAAAATTTTAGTCTTTTATTTACAAAATCTTTACAGTGAACCTTAAAAGCTGCTATGATGACACACCCAGTTCTCATCAAGGATATCAAAAGGACTATTTCAGAGTAAAGTAGCTGCTTTACAATGCATGACATGGCGGCCTACTGTTTATAAACTATATCTTCACATTATGCATTGGGAGAAAGAGTGATGTGATAATCCTACAGATCTAGGCCATAACACTAATCTGACCCTATGTCACATTTTCACTTGATGCCATGATATTCAAGTTGCTGATAATTTTCAAAGAATGACATTTCATACCTTTGTTCAACCATAAACATGCTATCAATTATATTTTTATTTCTGTATTCTTTAATCTCTGTCATATTTTTTTCGCACTGCTGTATTTTTTTTGTTCTCAAATGATTACATGTGCGGTTTTACATTCTGTAGGTGAAGATTAATTGTGTATTCATTTTTACCTGTTTTCTGTCATTTAATTGTAAGTATTGGTTGGAAGGTTGGAGACACCAAGCTTTAAACTATCGGGCATCATCTTAATAATATCCATTGGCATCTTACTAACAGGTATTGATGTCTTCCTTCACTCAGAGTATTAAATTAATCATTTCAATATGTATTGATTTGCACTTGGGAATTTAGAACATCTGAGCCTGTTTGGCTGCCTATAAGCTAAGTGGTTAAGTAGAGTGAGGGCACCTTGACAAGAGTAAGCAGGATATTTATTATGGATGTTTCCATCTTAGCATGCCATATTGATTATATTTCTGAATTTTTTGTGTGAAAGATTGTATTTCAATTCCAAAATGAAATAGCATCCAGACAGAAGTTAGGAAAGATATTTTATACTAACAAGTTAGTTTGGAAGTTAATTAACTAAACAGTTATCAGAATTTAGAACAGCCAATAAGTTCTTCCTCATATTCTCATTGGAGTTCTCTAGCAATTATAAGTGTTGTTTTTTGAGCTTTGAAAGATTCTCAATTTATATTGGTTATTTTTTTTCCTATTGCACTCTTGATCTTTAATTTTTAATTGAAACTTATCAAAGTGCTTTATGCTAGTTTTGGGAATTTATACCACATTAAGAATTCAAACCTTCCACCTTTAATTTTATTTTGTTTACTGCAGTTGCAAAAGAGACAGAATTTGAATTTTGGGGATTCATTCTTGTTATGCTTGCTGCTGTTATGTCTGGGTTTCGCTGGTGTATGACTCAGATCCTTTTGCAGGTATCGTATTTGCATTTTTGTTTCTCTATATATTCTATATCTACATGTCTATCTCTGCACACACAAACACATCCACATTCTATTTTGTTTTCCTGCTCTTGTTAATTAAACATTCTTGCTTCATTTTGCTGGGATGGAACCTGATTTTGATTCTCGTCATGTATGTTGAACTGAAAACCAAATTGAAAGAAAGAAGCCTATGGTAAGTGCCCTGCATAACTCTCATGTCAATAATTTATTGAAAATAGTTTTATTAGATTTATATGATATATTTCATGAACAGTTTACTCAATTAAAATTATAAAAAAAAATAATTCATTTATTTTTGTTTTGTTGGTTTTGGTCAATCAATCCATAAATCTAACATTAATTTGTGCCAATTTATTTATTTTTAATTTACCATGGATTTTTTCTACCCTTTCTGGAAACTCGGATATAAATTTCTATGACTAGATAGTGTACAATAGTAGATTCAGAAATGGCACATTATGCTCATGCCTACAGATTTGAGATATTGAATTTCATGAAAACAAATTACCAAATATTTTAAAAAAATCCACTCCACATTAAACCCCCACTAGCGATGGTGGGGTGGGGTGAGGACTATTTTTGTATGCAGTCTTATATTTGCATAATTGCAAAGAAGCCGTTTCCCGGATTCCAACTTAAGAGGATAATTTTTATTTATATTTTTGATAAAAGAAGAAGTTTATTAAGGTCAAGAGAAATAATTTCAAAGAAGATCACTGTAACAAAGCTTCCCAATCCCTCAACATATATGTTAGATAAACCTCATACAAAGGACCATGAGCTTTGCACCAAATAGACGCCAACTGCCTAATCTTATCCCAAGTCAACTGATGTGGCAATGTGCAAAAGAAACCTCCTTGAAGAAACGAGAGTACCACTCTAACCAAGTAGACGATATTGTGGCATAGATTGCCCATTACCACAAAAATTTAGCCTCTTTACTTTTACCAAAACCATGAAAACTAACCATAAAACATTGGTGCAGGGACCTAGGAGACACCCAACGTTTACTGAAAATTACGAATAAGGAGTGCCATAAAGAAATGGCAGCAGAACAATGTAAGAACAGGTTGTGTACAGATTCTGAGCAAACACCACACATTACACACATACCAGGGGAAAGAGCCCTGTGTGACCTTCAAACCTGTAACATGTCATTAGTATTAATTCTATTAAGTACTACAATCCTTTGGTCTTCACCATACCAAAGGAAAATGCCAAAGCCATTTAGCAGCCAGAGAAATCTAACGTTCTGAGACACCAACATACCATGAACCAAGCCCCCTTGATTCTTAAGAAGACAGACACCAACTCACCAGATGATCCTGTCTTGTATCTGAAGCGTCCAGCCAAAGAAAATCCCTCATAATCTTTTCTATTGTTTGGGCAACTCCCACAGGGAAACAAAATAAAGGCAAGTTGTAGAGAGGGATACTTGAGAAGCAAACATGAATAGAGGTAAGCCAACCCCCAAGAGAGTAATAAGCTCCTTTCAAATTATCTAGGCGCTTAGAGATTTTCTTCACTACTGGATCCCAAAAGGAAGCAGCTCTAAGAGGTTAATTGTACACCTTTTTGTTGGAGTCTCCTTGCTGGAAAGCTGATGGATAAACGATGGTGACTTAACTGCCAGAGGATTATAATAGCTTGGTTTTTATATAATTTTCTGCCCTCCCCAGTAGATATTCCTCAATCTCATCAATTAAATACTCCTTTGGTTGCTTCGCAGTACATTTCTGGACTCCCAAACAAGAATTATAAAGCAATTGGCTTCTCCTTGATGAAAAAAGATTACAATTTTTTTTCTTGGCATATAGGTCTCACTTATTAGTCTTGGAAATATGTTTTAAAGCTACCACCTTTTACAGTTTACACAACTCAGAGTGAGAGACCTTAATTAATAAGCTTGAAAGCTGAATTAGGTGCAGGAAGGAAGTAATTTTACCTTTAAAGATTTTTCAAACCCTGAATCTTACATTTAAGCACAGGGCTTTGATTATTAAGCTCATGAGCAATGTTGTTAAAATGTAGAGTCTACGCCGAAACGGTAGGGGTGAGCAAAAACGTAAAAAATTGAAATGTAAACGAAACGTAAGAGTTTACTACATACTCAAAAAAATAAAATATCCAACATATAACCAAAACACACCAATACATAAGTCCAAACACTAAGGAAATAAAAATTAATTTTGAACTTAGTCATCATAATACATACTAAAATCAAAATACCAAGACTATAAAATTATTAAAGAGATCAACATCTCTAATCTAAGTTATTGGAGTCTAAGTCAATATCATATAAAATTAAAATGGGATACCGTAAACTGGAAAAGATCCAAAAATAAAAAAAAAAGCCAAGCGACTGGATCTGTAAATAAATATCTACAAAGCGGTGATTGAAAAGGAGAAGCTTTTCAGAAAAAATAAGGAACAAGAGACCAGGAAAAAACAAGCGACCAGAAGAAACGATCCAAAAAAAAAATGAGGTAAGAAGACTAGGAGAGAAACGAGATCAGAATAGGAAAAAAAAAAGATTAAAGATCGAATCTGATCCAAAAAAAAAAAGTATCCTTACTTGAGTCTTGATCAGAAAATAGCTGCTGCCTTCTTGATTTGTCCGAAGTCCGAATCTGATTAAAGACCACCGTCCACCGCTTGCGACTTGCGAAGGAGACTAGGAGAGAGTAGACAGAAGATCCAAACGAAGAGACCAACCCAATCGGGTATTAATAATATATTTTAAAACAAAAAAAAGTCATTATTTTATTTTATAGGACAAAACAGAAATAGACCCATACTGAGAACGCACTCAGTCCGGCCCAAATTTCGTTTTTTTTTTAATACTGAGTCAACTCGTCGAGTCAACCGAGTTTACCGAGTTGACTCGCCGTTTCAACCATTTCAACTCATTTTACGTTTCGGCAACCGTTTTAACACGTTTTTTAGGCAAAAAATGTAGAATCGTACGTTTCAACCGTTTCGACACTATGTTTTAACCACACTGCTCCTGAGAAATAAGTTAATACATGAGTTCAATAAGGGTGGATTTAAAAACTTATCAAGGAATTTGACTTTCTTCTCTTGATAAAAGAATTTAATGAAAGGGAAGACAAACCTCCTAACGGCCCGAAAATCACATATAAAAGGGAAATACAAAAATCTGCTCAAGAGAGCACTCCAACTCCAAACATTTGATGTGGGCCTTGAATGTCTGAAATTATAGAGGGTGCCTGTTTATTTGAAGACTTAGCAATCTAATTCTGTAAGTTGCCATATTTTAGTGTTTCCCACCTTCTAAATTGTCTCTCTATCTTCCCTTGAGCCTTTTCTTTGCTCGCATTCACTTTTCAATAAGAATTTTGTAAGTTCTGTTATATTTTAGCAAAAATTTTATGCCTTTACAAATTATTTCAGGTCTGAAAAATCCACTTACTCTGATGAGCTATGTAACTCCAGTAATGGCACTGGCAACTGCACTTCTTTCTCTGGCATTAGATCCATGGGATGAATTCCGAGAAAACGAGTACTTTGATAATTCATGGCATATAGCTCGAAGTTGCTTGCTGATGCTTTTCGGTGGGACGCTTGCCTTTTTTATGGTAGGAGTGTGTATTCCCTTTAAGATGCAAATATGTTCTTTATTCCCTCTTTCCCTGCCTCCCGACACTCAAGGAGGAATATAACATTTTTTTAAATTTTAATGTTTGACTTGCTTCTCTTGTCTTAACTGGCTTTTGTTTGTTTATAGCCATATTAGTAAACTTTAGTCTTTGTTCCTCTAACATTTGGATCTTTATCTTCTTACAGGTACTAACAGAATATGTTCTGATCTCAGTAACTAGTGCTGTCACAGTCACGATAGCAGGGGTTGTTAAGGAGGCTGTCACCATATTGGTATCAATTATGTTTTTCGATGATTTTCATTTGTTGATATGATTATCCAGTGACTGCCCCTTTTATTCTTCGATCAATATTTCTAGACTATGTAGTTCCACTTCTGTGGTGTAATTCTATCAGGAGTACATTATTGCAACATATGCGTTCATTTACCAATAATATTTACGATGATCCATGCTAAGTAAAACATTAGCATTCATTGTATCCAAAAGAAAAAGTTAGCATTCATGGAACAGTTTTAACTATGTATTGTCTTAACTGTTCCATTAGCAATCATACAAATCTGTCTCTTTTTTATTGGTATCCTTGTTGCAGTTGATGTCCATATAAGACAAATCGGTTGATGAACAGAGATACCTAGAAAACTTAAAATAAAGAAATTTCTTAATTTGGTTTTATCCTGATGTGGGGGCCCGCTGTAGTGTTTTAAATACTTCATTAATTAGAGCTGTCATTTTCATTTGTAGTTGAGTTAGTTTATTCTATTGCATTTCGCTTGGTTTAGTATTATGGGTAATTTGCTAATTTGCCAATTCTGTATTGCAGCATTAGAGTTTGGTAGGTTATTAAGCTTAGGCTCTGATAGCATTATATACTTAGTCTGTACAGATTATATTAGAACTCGAGCTAAACAGAGCTTGTTGCCACTGATAGTATACTTTTCCACATGAATTTAGATTGTTAAACCTGTCTGTTGTAAATGTTTAGGGCATAACCTGAGAGTGCCAAACCTGTCTTAAGAGTAGTTTCCTACAAATTGCAGATATATTTTTTATTGAATTCAAACACAACGGTGGTGCTGAGTTTACCAATTTTAATAACTTTTTTATGTTGATGATGGAGAAATAAGTGTGGAACTTGAGCATGATATCATTATTTTGTCATTTTTGTAGTTTTTTCTTGAGAAACCGGGTGCTTTTTAGATTTCAAGTCCATTTTGGAGTTTAGTTTTAATCCACTATCATTGTAACACTTCTTTACTATCATTCAATCAGATGTTACCATCTCATTAAAAGATTTTTGTTCTTAAATAGTTGTGTTAGCCTAGTCAAATATTTTTAATAATGTGAGAATACATGATTGGATGATAGTGTCAAAAGGTTTTGCATTAACAGTGAATTAAAATTAAATTAAAAGATAAATACCCATTTGTTCTATCATACAGATATGAATTATTCTACTCATAAATGCTTTGTATTGAATAAATATTTAAATATTAAATATTGTTTTTATTAAATCTTCTTACATCTGGGTTTCTGATTGCACACCTACTTAAACTTAATGTTCTGGTTTCATGTTGTTTGTGTAGGTTGCAGTATTGTACTTTCATGATGAATTTACTTGGTTGAAAGGATATGGTCTATTCGTTATTATGGTTGGTGTCAGTTTGTTTAATTGGTACAAGTAAGTCATTAGCAGAGATATATCTCAAGCAACAATCTCTAATTTGTGATCATTCTTTCCTCAACTTTTAATTTATGTTCTGATACTTACAACACAATCGTGATACTTTCTTTGTCGCCTTAAATACTCTAGTTGTTTTTAATTAATAGTTCAACTTTAATTGAAAACTGAATAAATAAAATGGTTACTTTTATTTATGATCTTTTGTCTTCCCAAGTCTAAGAAGGAACTATTTTATCAAACTTCTTCCATTTTACTCGACTTTATTTTTCTTTTCTTTTTTATCAGAGAAACATACAAAAAATAATGAAACCACCTCCTTTAGTTTATAATATGTCAATGGAATTGCTAATTTTCTGATCAAATAATACAACATTAGAGCTCAAGTTACTATCTTGTTCAACAAAGCTATATTGGTGTACCTCAGAAATATTAATACTTGGTCTCAATTAATGCTAGTCATTAAATGTTTTTGTTCCTTTTTTTTTATAATTTCAGATACAAGAAGCTTCAGAAGGGCCATGCTGGTGACAACGATGTGGCAGAGAATCAAGCAAGAGATTCTGCAGCCAAATATGTTATTCTTGAGGAGATGGATGAACAAGAAGATGGGATCTGAAACCTTCATGGACCAATTAATTCAAATCCAAAGTAAGTCTTTTCTTGGATGATAGTTAAATGATGCAAATCATAACCTAATATTTTATATGTTTACAATGGCTTCATACTCTATATTCATCCAGAGGCAGCAGATGCTACATGTTATTAAAATCCTGCAAATGATAACCTTGGTTCCTCTATAATAGAAAAAAAAAAATGAAGGCTGAAATCATGAAAGTCTAAGTTTCAATTAAAAAATATGGCCTATTTGTGCAAGGAAATTTGCAATATGTTTAGTTACAAAGCACCATTTTAATTTTTTGAGACTGAAATGTTAATATATATAAAATATCTTTAGTATTTTCCAAATGTTGCATGTTGTTTGTTGTTAATTTGATTATAAGTCTTAACCAGTTTACTATTTACTGAAGTCTGTTTTTCTAAATTATATGTATATTGAAGCAACGATTTCTAAAGACCAAAGGGCGCAAAATTAACTTCCAGCTTCATCTCATCTTTTCAGTAATCGCATGCTTATGTTTCCCATTGGAATTGTGATGTCAGAGTTCTTCCAAGTTTTCTGAGTAAACAAATTTTCGAGATATATAGCCTGGCTCCAATCAAATTCCACATCAATTGTTGCTTGTATTCTGTCAGAATATGTGCTTAATCAGTTACAGATTTTGGCATTCTTTGGAGTTGATAAGATACATGTTGTAAATCACAACAGGTTGTAATACATCATTTTTCTCGATTTTTGCTTTGTAGATTAGGGAATTTTATTTTTAACCATGTTATCAGTATTTTGCTTGTATATATGAAGCACGAACACTCTTTTTCTTTTTTACGACACGTGTCAGAAACGGCTGGGACACTGAACATTCAGGTAAAACTCATGTCATTAGACACTTGAATGATTTGGTTATTTAACAAAAAATTTCAATTTTTTTTCCCCTGATCCACCCCTACACACGTTGGCAGAGAAAAAAAATTTATAAAGGGGGTGAAATTATAAATATATTCTTTGTAAGTTATAATTAGTTATATGACAGAAAAATGGGGATGATGTCAATGAGTATTTACATATCAAGTCAAATCTTCTGCCCACGCGAACGAGCTAGGTTTTTTTCGTTGGTAGACAATATGTAATCTCAATTGTAAATTTTCGTTGAGGTTAGTGGTTTTTTTTTTTTTGGTTTTTCAAGATATTTTTCGGTCGATAGTTGAAAATTAATTTTTTCAATGTGGAAAATTATATTAAGTGGATATATTTCTCTTAACAAAGTCTTTTTCATATATATGGCCAGAGATTGAATCTCTATTAGTATACTTAACAAACTCAATTATCTATCAATGGGGTGTGCATTTCCCAAATTTAAACTTTGATATAAAAAATAAGGGAAAAATAGTTCTTGTAGGAAAATCATGTTCTCTTGTCAATTAGAGGTTGATTTTTGTGTCAACATTTTATTTCTTTTTCTTTTTATTTTTAAAATCAATGGGATCCATTTCATTGTATCTGCGGAAAAATATGCCAACAAAATAAGTGCCTGCTTGTTCTAAAATTGTTGGTTGTGCACCACATGATTCCATTCATGCTAAAGAAATCATATAATCATTGTGAAGGAAGAGAACCTGAAGGGGGAAGAAAAGTGACCCAAATTTTACTTGCCAGTTCTTTTAAATTTCAACTACAAATTAATTGTACATGAACAATAATAATAACAATAGCTCAAAGGTCACACACCACGGGCAACTAAATCCAGCCCAAGATATACAGAAAAATACATGAGACTAAAAAAGGAAAAAGAAAACTATAAACACACAAATTTAAGCAACTTAAACAGGAAAGACAAGAAGAAATGAAACGACAAGAAGAAGAAGAAGAACAGCCTCTCTGAGAGAAACAGCTTTTGTTGCAATCAACGGAGATTTCACTGCTACCTTCTTTATGTTCTCCAGCAGGTACGGTTTACTTGTAATCTTGCATCTTGCTCCTATTTGAATGAGTTCTTTTATCAGTATAAAATATAAAAATAAAAAACAAATAAAAGAACCTTTTACTAAGCCCTCATAGCTATTTGTAATCTCGTGTTTTATTTCTAATGATTAAATTTTCTAATAGTTAATGACTGGATAAACCAAAATTCTGCTAACAAAAAACTAAAATCATAAAAATTGGTACTCACTTAGTATTCACTAACTAGTGGAGTAGTAGTATGTACCTGTGCCATAGACTTATATTCGGGGCAATCTTCAATGATCAAAAGACCATATTGGAATAAAGGACCATTTTGAAATTCAAACCAAGGGAAAATCCCTGTGAGAATTGGCAACTTTTTGAGTTCAAGCAAAAACAGATTCGGAAACAATAAATGCTTCCCATCATCATCGACCACCATACCACCACCTTCTTCACTTGTAGCTTTATGTTCAAATTTCACAATATTCTCAAGCTGAGAGCACAGTTCTATGCCTAGTGATCCCAGGGAAGGACAATGACCAGCCATAGAATAAGAGAAAATGCATTTCAATTTGTTGCATATTTCAATCCTAATGCTGCAAAGTTTTGGGAAACGAACTTGTTGCGAGAGAGCAGATAAGTTTTCAAGTTGTTCTACTTCCTCTGAATCTAATGAAAGTATGTCTTCCAATTCATCACACTCCTTTACATGCAGATCTACCAACTCCGGCAGGCTTATAACAATGGTGGAGGAGAATATTTTTTCCAATTTGTTGCATCTTTCGATGTAAACATTATCCAGTTTGGGGAAGTAAACTTGTTGGGAAGGAGCTGATAGGTTTCTGAGTGAATCTGCTTCCTTAGAATCTGAAGAAATTATATTCTCCAATTCAATGCAGTCTAGTACCCACAGGCGTTGCAACTCTGGCAAGCTTGAAACTGTAGTTGTGCAGAAAACTTTTTTCATTTTGTTGCATCTCATGATCAGAATATTTCTCAGTTTGGGGAAACAAAACTGTTGGGGAGGAGCTAATAAACTTCTATGTTGTTGTTCTGCTTCGTTTGAATATGAAGAGATTATATCCTCCAACATGTCGCAGTCGAATATAGACAAGGATTGCAAGTTTGGTAGGCTTGAAACAACGGTTGCAAAGACGATTTTTTTCAATTTGTTGCATCCTGCAATCCAAATACTTTGTAGTTTGGGGAAACAAATTTGTGGGGAAGGAGCAGATATGTTTCTAAGTTGTACAGTTTCCTCTGAATGTAAAGAAATTATTTCGTCCCATTCGTTGCAGTCCTTTATAGCTAGATAATCCAGCTCTGGTAAGCTTGTAACAATGGTCCCATTGAAGATTGTTTTCAATTTGTTGCATCCTTCAATACAAATAATCTGTAGCTTGGGGAAACAAACTTGTTGGTAAGGAGGAGATAGGTTTTTAAGTTGTATTGCTTCCTCTGACTCTAAAGAAATTATTTCCTCCCACTCACTGCAGTCCTTTACAACTAGTCGAAACAACTCTGGTAGGCTTGTAACAATAGCCTTGGAGAAGATTGTTTTCAATTTCTTGCACTTTTCAATCTCAATTCCCCACAGCATGGGGAAACAAACTTGTTGGGAAGGAGCATACTGGTTTATATGTTTTCTTTCTTTATTTGAATCTAAAGAAATTATTTCCTCCCATTCATTGCAGTCCTTCACAATCAAATGCTCCAACCGGGGCAATCTTGTAACAATGGTTGCAGAGAAGATTGCTTTCAATTTGTTGCATCTTTCAATCTCAATTCCACACAGAATGGGGAAACAAACTTGTTGGAAAGGAGCAAACAGGTTTATATGTTTTCTTGCTTTATTTGAATCCAATGAAATTATGTCCTCCCATTCATTGCAGTCCTTCACAATCAGTTGCTCCAACCTGGGCAGTCTTGTGACAATGGTTGCAGAGAAGATTGCTTTCAATTTATTGCATCTTTCGATCTCGATCTTCCTCAGTCTGGGGAAACAAACTTGTTTGAACTGAGCAGATAGGTTTGAAAGTTGTCCAACTTCCTCTGTATCTAAGGAAATTATTTCCTCCCATTGATTGCAACCCTTTACAACCAATTGTTCCAACTCTGGTAGGATTGTAACAATGGTTGCGGAGAAGATTGCTTTCAATTTGTTACATTTTTCGATCTCAATTTCCCTCAGTCTGGGAAAATAAACTTGTTTGGAAGGAGCAAAAAGGATTCCATCTTGTCCTGCTTCCTTTGAATCTGTAGAAATTATTTCCTCCCATTCATTGCAGTCCTTTACAACTAGTTGTTGCAAATCTGGTAGGCTTGTAACAATAGTTGCAGGGAAGATTGTTTTCAGTTTTTTGCAACTCTCAATCTCAATCCTCTGTAGTTTGGGTAAACAAACTTTTTCAGAATCAGCAAACAGGTTTTCAAGTTGTGTTGCTTGTTCTAAATCTGAAGAAATTGTTTCCATCCATTCGTTGCAGTCCTTTACAATCAGTTGGTTCAAATCTGGTAGGCTTCTAACAAATTTGGTGGTGAAGATTGTTTTGAATTTGTTGCATCTTTCAATCTCAATGCTCCTAAGTTTGGGGAAATAAACTTCTTGGTAAGGAGGAGTTCGGTTTCTGCATGGTCCTGCTTGCTCTAAATCTGAAAAAATCATTTCCTCCCATTGGTTGCAATCCTTCACAACTATTTGTTCCAACTCTGGTAGGCTTGTAACAGTGGCTGCAGTGAATAACGTCTTCAATTTGTTGCAACTTTCTATGTTAATCCTCCACAGTTTTGGGAAAAATTGATGGGAAGGAGCAGGTAGATTTCTAGGTTTCTGTGCTTCCTCTGAATCTGATGAAATTATTTCCTCCAATTTGTTACAGTTGCATACAGACAACTCTTTCAATTGCGGTAGGCTTGAAACAACGGTTGCAAAGAAAATTGTTTTCAATTTGTTGCATCTGGTGATCTCAATCACCCTCAATTTGGGGAAAGAAATTTGTTGGGATAGAGTTGATAGGTTTTTAAGCTGTCCACCTTCCTCTGAAGAATGCAAAGAAATAATCTCCACCAATTCGACACAATCATGTACAGACAGCTCTTTCAACTCTGGTAAGCTTGAAACAATGCTTGGGAAGAAGATTGTTTTCAATTTCTTGCATCCTTTGATTAAGATCTTCTCTAGTTTGGGGAAAACTGGTTGGGAAGGAGCATAAAGGTATCTAAGTTTTCCTGCTTCCTCTGAATCCAAACAAATTATTTCCTCCAGCTCATTGCATTCATAGGTAGATGTCAAGCACTCTCCAACATCAATTGATTGGCAAGTTTCTAGTCTTGACAATGCTAATTCCCACCTCATCAAATTATTTCCCTTTAAAGTGCTTCCCACTGTGAGAATGGCAATAAGCTCTCCTTCACATTTGTTGAAGACACTCTTTGCTACCTCTCTCAACTCTTCTGGGGAATCATCATCTATTTGTGCACGGTCCTTGAACAAATCCCAACCTTCATCTTCTGTTAACACAGACAGTTCAGTTATGCTTTGGCAATTCATTGAAGTGCAAACTTCTTGGTTGCGCGTAGTGAAGAGGATGCAACATTTCTTGTCATTCTCATTCAAAGGAATCCCAATAGCTTCCAAGTCCAGCTTCTCCCATACATCATCCAAGATGATAAGAATCTTCTCTGTCTTTAATCTGTGAGACAACCTTAGTGCCCTCCCACGTTCTGTCTCTTCCATCAATGGGAAGGTCAAGTTGTCAGCTATTTGACCTTGAATATCTCTAACATTGACATCTTGTGACACAACAGTCATAACCACCTTGTCAAAAAGCTTTAACTCCTCCACTTGCTTGCCCACAACTTTTGCTAATGTTGTTTTCCCCGAACCTCCAATTCCAACCAATCCAATCACATTGCTGTTTTCATCTTGGATTGCTTTCAGTAGCTTTTCATAAGCTTGCTTTCTAGAATCTAATGCCACAAAGTCTTTGGGAAAGAAGTAATTCATGCTTGAGAGTTCAATGGGGTGTGAAAATGGCTCAAATTTATTGTTGCTGTTGAGTTCATCCATTTGCTGTGTCATGCATGTCACCTCCTTTGCTAAAGAATACTGCGTTGTCACGTTCAAACAGCATTTTCTTGCTTCTTCTATACTTTCTTCCAGCTTCACCACCTCTTCCAAAACCTTCTCCACATCATTCACCCACTCTTCAACTGGTTGCACAATCTTCTCAGCATTTGTAGTGGCTTCTTTAGTCCGTTCTTTCATGTGCTGCAATGTTTTTTCCAACACTTTCTTTGATTTTCGAAGATCAATTACATATTTGTTGAAACGGAACAAATAACGAGCACGAGCTATAATTGCAGTCAACACACGCTCTACTATTGTAGACGCCACAGCGGTGCCTATTTCGGCCATTTTCCTGCAACTAAAAAGCTTCAAGATTAATTTACTTCAACGCTGTGTATTTATCAAAACTGAAAAATATTTATGCACTTATTGCATATAAGTTATATGTATTTACTCTCGAAAATGATTTTCTTTTGGGGTTGAAAGATTAAAAAATAATAATTATAAAGACTATAATAATTCTGAAATAAATTAAAATTACAAAAACACCATAATTTTTTATCCAAAACAACATCGTATTGGACATACTAAAACAAAGTCTTATCAAAATCAGTAGTTTTTGAAAGTTTGTCTCAGACCAATTATTTCATCAAATGAGTGAACTTGTTAAAGTTCGGCATCAATTTATATAGACAATAAGATACGAACAGAAGGGATTTTTTAACTCCGTTATGACACTAAAAAGTCTTAATCTTTATGTCAACCGTTGATTACGGTGATAGTTTATTAAATTATATGAATTAAATAATTATTAATTTTAAATAAACTAAAACTGTTATATAGACGGAAATTATAATATATGAGATGAGGAGAGGAGTAAGATTTCTTAATTTTATATTGAAGTAAAAGAATTCCTCCTAATATGATTATATAAGATGTTTATATGAACCAAATTATATTTATTCTCCAAGTTCATATGATAAAACTCTGAATGGCAGCTAAATTTTTTTACTATTTTTAATGTCTTAAATTTTTAGACTGAGATACCGTATTTGAGTTCATTTATTGTAGTTCTCCCCTAACACGAATTCCTTAGTTACCCAACTTTTGGTTATATTATTTCACCTTAAATCCAATCATATAGAATTTAAGTCCTATATATGTGTTGCATGCAGATATGAAGCAGTGCAATGAAAGAGGATGAAACAAACCTCGATGAAGAAGATTACAGATGAACCAAGACTCTTTACAAATGGTGCACGTCTCTGCCTCTACCAAGTTTTGATTACAGAAAGAAGAAAGAGAGACTAATATTGACAAAGAATTAATACGAGTGATGGCAATTATTGACGAAGACTTAAACTCTCTAAAGTTAACTGAGAATGATGGTAGGGGCACTGATTATGGGTCCTCAAATTTCTTTTTTTCTTTTTTTTTAGTAGACGCAGAGGGTCCTCAAAATATACTTTCCAATCAAATGAATTAATAATATAATATGAAATATGAAATATTTAATTATTGACGAAGACTTAAACTATCGGAAGTTAATTAATCGAGAGTGATATGGATCCTTAAAATATACTCACTTTGTTCAATCAAACGAATTAATGATAGAGAATTATATTTATAAATTTTTTGTTTATAAACTTTTATAAATTATATTATGTATTTCTGAAAGTACGTTAGGTTATACTATGTACTTTCGAGAGTATATAATATAATTTATAAAAATTTATAAAAGAATTTTGCAAACGCATCCTTCTCCGTGCAGAAAATATTAAATATTTACAGTGCACCAAACGACACGCTTGTGGAATCTTTGCTCTTTTGTTCAGTTTCACACCTGAAAATACATATACATATGAAAGACAATTTTTTCTTTTTTTTGATAACATGAAAGACAACTTTAATTTTAAAGAAAATTAGAACATTTAACTAAATTTAAGATTTGAAAAATTCACATCGGAGTCTAGTACATATTAATAATTTTGAGAGCGGTATTGTAGTTTAAGGTATGGAATAAATCTTTGGTAATACTGCTGTACCAAAAATTCAGTGCATCTCACTAATGAAAATATTACATGTTAGTTAAATTTTTTTTTTTCTGTCAAATTTTTTTTCTCTCCTCTGATGTGTAATGTTTTCATTGATGAAATACCTACAGCAGTAGTACCAAAGATTTATTCTAAGTAACGAGTCTACCAACCCAGAATGTGGATTTGTGACTCATGATCCTGTACCTCTTATTTCTCGCCCACGATCACTACCTGTCAGTGGCGGACCCAGGAAAAAAAATTTATGTCCGCACAATCAGTGGCGGGGTTCGGGGGCAGCGCCCCAGAATTTTTTTTTTTATATAAAAGTTTAAATCAACGCTTGAACCCGCTCATAATCTAGTTGCTTCCATAACAAGCTGCAGACAATAGTTTGACCAATTATTTTCCCCCTAAATCTTATCAATCCTTCAAAACAAATATGAGAATATACTCCGGTACATCCATACATCATCATTCTATTTTGGGATATGTTATTTTACCTAACATTTTTCTGCCTACCTTTGCCTACCACTCTCCAATACCGTTAGATCAAAATCTCAAGAAGAGAGAAAAAGATAAATGTTAGTTAAGATTCTGATCTAACGGTGTTGGATGGTGGTAGGTAGAGGTAGGCAAAAAAATGGTAAGTAGAATAACCTATCCCTTCTATTTTATAGTGGTGAATAAAAAAGTTAACACTACCTATACAGAAGTAAAACAAAATCACAGTGAAGGTCTCGTCTCTAGATATTAACTTATTTGAGAATGTCAGACCTACAATCAATCATCTCTTTTTATAAAAATAAAAAAGGAAACAAAGGATGAAGAGAACGTGGAAATGAGTATGTGACAAGGGAGGAAGAATAAGTTTTCTTTCTAATCAATGTGCGTTGTTGCGTTGTTTTAATCATCTTCGTACGTTGTTACGTTGCTAACTAATATAAGAATAAATATCATTTTTGGTCCCTAAAAAAAATTTGGTCCTCACTTTAGTCCATTATAAAAAAAAAAATTAGTCACATGATCCCTATGGACCCACTTTGGTCTTTCTGTGGGACTAGTGTAGGTCTTTTTTGAATTTGTGATGGACCACGATTTTAATTAAATTGATCTACTTTAAATTTTTTAAGGACCTCGAGACTAATTTTTTTTTGTAAGGGACTAAATTGAGAATCATATTTTTTGTTAGGGACTTAAAAAATTATTTACTCCTAATATATATATTGAATCAAGAGACAAATAACAATCTACAAAAAAAAAAAAAAAAAAATTAAAATCAAAAAGTTTATGACCGCACTTGCGGGCATTTGCCCGCAAGTGGGTCCGCCAATGCTACCTGTGAAATAACAGTTTTAGGGTCAAGTCACCTAGTCCTGATATCGTGTTTCCCACCTAAGGATGTTCAACCGGTTAAGGTATGAGCTTGCCAACTTGGAACGTGGGTTTATGACTCATGATCTTGTACCTCCTCTTTCTCACCCATGATCACCATATGCAAGATAATCGTTTTAGGGTCATTTGTCCCAACGAACTTTATATATACTTGAATCATGCTCCACAAGAGATTATCTTAACCATATTACGTTACAGAACACTCTTAAGTCCTAAAGAGCTCTCACCATCTCCAAAGTACGCACACTCCTTACAATTACAACTCTCTTCAGCTAGACATTTATATTCACCTTCGAACATTTTTTTAACACAAAAATACAACAGTAATAAAACTTCTGCCCTAATAATTTTCTAAAAAGCCAACTTATAATATAAAATAATTTATAAATAGTTAAAACATTGAAAATGTTAAGTCGCCCTTGCCTCTATGATAATTTTTTTTTCCTTCAGGAGCCCAAAACTTATCATTTGGAAGTTTCTCACTTCTTTTTCAATTGCATAATTTATGAAAGAACTTTCATAAATTATGTGGTTAATCATAAATTATATGGCATTAATCCTCGAGAAATTGAACTTTCCTTCGGAACAGAACATTTTTCATACCACTGTCTCCGCATTTAGTGACTACTGTCACACTAAGTGTTCAGTGTGACCGTCATTTTGCACTGTGTATTTCCGAGAATATATAATATAAATATTAAATTATTATTTTTTCTCTTCGTCAGTCAACAATTTCTGATGAAAGAAAAAAAAAACTTTAATATTTATACTATATATTTTCAAAAATACATAATACAAATATGACTATCACATTAGTATATTAGATTTTTTGCCTTCGGAGTCCTTGACGGATCATACAGTATGGCAAGTTGTTCTGTGTGGATGAAAGTTGGACTTGACCACAATCCAGAAACGAACTCATGACATAGGTCTGAGGCCAGTATTGAGCACGGAAGCCGAAAAGTGGGCTGGTATCAAATGACGGGTCCAAAACACAAGTTTATCTAATTTTTTTTTAGAGAAAAGTGTTTCTTCTTTTAGATGACACAACTTATATTATTTCACTCTTATAAAGAAGTAGAACCCACACCTTTATATTTTTTTGTCCACTCTCTATCCTCCTTTATCTATCTCTTTCTCTCACTTAAAATGACACAACTTTACATCCTTTAAAATGATACACATTTTTCCCAATTTTTTATCTGGTCTCTGTTGGAGTTAACAAATTCGTTTCAAAATTTCTATTTACATTCATTTGAATTACATTTTTAAGAAAACTACAATCAAGAATGTTATTTTTGGATTTTTTTAAAAAATTTATCAATTAGCATTTAGACTTTTTTAAAATCTTTTTAAAAATCCTAGAAGTATTAAAAAAAATTATTTGATTCATAGTGTATATTCTTAGAAATATATGGTAATTCTCAAAATATTCTTCTTTTATAAAATACTATTTAATATTATTTGAATTAAAATAAGATCTATTTGGTGGATAAGATATGAGAGAATATATATTATATCTTGTTATTATTCATTATTTGATAAGACAACATAATATGATAAGTTTATTCTATTAATTCATTATGTCCTATTTATATTTTAATAAGTTGTCCTAAGGAAAAATTAGAATAGGATTAAATAGGATAAAATAGAAAATATCACACTCCTTCTAACCCGAATGCGGCTCTCGATCTGTTCTTCTTCTTGAACTTTGCTAGAACTGTGAGAGTCAACACCTGCTATTGGTTAACCATTATTGAGATCTAAGTTCTTCCTTATATCCTAAACATGAAGATATTCAAAGTAATTTCTTTTCAAAAGTGTACCGTTGGAATCTATAAGCCCAATATGTTCCCTTTGGGGATAATGTCACTATATGGATGATACCCCTAGCTGAAGTAAAGACCAGGCTAGGGGGTATTGTTCCAAGGATGAAGCAAGTTAATAACAATGGTGTTGGGTGTGTGAGTCTGTGACTTAATTCAAATGGGCATGATAACGATACATAAGATACCTTCATGGTGTGCCCAAGGGGGCTATTTATAGAGAAAGTGGTGTGCACCTGGTTGGTGAGGAGGGGGTCAACCCTCTTGAGATTCACTCCCATGATGGCAGTGTTGGGCGTGGCAGGCGCTGCTGTTGTAGCAGAGCTGCGCCTTCTGTTGCTGGCGGTGTCAGCGCAGGGCAAAGGAGCAGTTTCCTTTTACGGAGCCTGTGACGGTGGTCTTTGGGGGTTGAGGTCCCAAGATGGGACATTTTGGAGCTTCTCTTTGGAAGCGTCGCAGCATTGGGGGATGGGAGGATCCATGTTAGCCCTTAGGGCTGACGTGGGTTGGAGCCTGGGGTTGGGCTTGGGACCTTGGGCCGGCAATTATTGGGCTGGCAATTATTGGGCCATCCGGAACAGGAGCCCCCCAGCTTGGTGGCAAGCGTAGGTTGGCGCCAAGGTAAAGTCGGTGGGCAACATCTTACTGGCGATCTGTGCGGTTAGGTCATAAGTGTTGGTTGGTGCCATGGTAAAGTCGTTGGGCGACACCTTGCTGACACGAAGTAGGTTGGTGCCAAGGCTAAGCCGTTGGGCGTCGCCTAAACGGTGTAGGAGTAGCACCCAATATCTTAGGTCTCGCAATGGGTATTTTGGGTCTTTCGCCTTTCTGACACGAAGGGTGTCTCTTCGAATTTCGAGGGGTTGCAATGATGGTTTCTTCCATCATTGCAAGTAACTGCAAAACTTAATCGTCACAAGGCACGGCGCATTAATGCAACGTGTCTTCACGAGGCATTAATGTGACGTGAAGGGTGTCTTGTCCCCCCAAAATTACCATCAAGCCCCTCATCACAGCCGCTTATTACCTGACGGTTCTACACGTGTACGCCACCTCAATCTCCTTCTTCCTTTAAAAAGGAGGTTCATCCCCCTCTGAGGACCTTCTTCACGTTACCTGCTGCTCTTCGTGTTTCTTCATCTTGCATTTGTTCTTT